TTTGAAGAAACTCTTTTTTACTGGATTGGTTTCTCCAAATCTTCTTTGTGTTTTCTGATCAATATTGATGGCTTTGATGTACCATGAATCCGAAAACCGGCGATTTAGACTAGTTTGGGTTGAAGACTTGTTATCATGTGACAAATCCTTACTTCGTCTTCTTATTCTTGTTCTTCCCCAGCTTTTAATGCGATGAATGACACTAGATATCTTTTCTATACTTCTTTGGCTACTTGAAGAACTCCAAACGGTGGAGCTGTCAATTTCTTCGCTCTCGGAGCTTCGAGATGTTCGAGAAGAATTGTCAAAAATTGGATCTAAAACAGGTTGCTTACAAGGTCTTTTATGAGATTTTGGTCTTGGATGATCACATTCCAATGTTCTTAATTGTAACTTGTAATTCTTGGACTCAAATCTCATGCAGGCATTAAGCCAGCGTTGGTATACTAGTTCTTCTACCATGTTAAATCTGTTCTTCTGCAGCTTCTCAACTTCTCCGCTGCGTTCCTCATTGGCATGCCTCAGTCTATTTGCTTCTTCCTCAACCTTAGCATGATTGAGCTTGCTCTGCACCCAATAACCAAAACTGAGAAATTGTACCATAAAATTTTGTTGAGGATTCAGGGCAATTCAACATTTTTCTTTTCTGGGTTTGCAACAATTTTATCAGTGGATGATTCGAAAACTTAATAAGTAAATTGTTGTGAAAATTAATTTCAAATAAGCACACAATTATATAAGGAGTAAAGAAAAAAATACAAAAATTACGTGATTCAATAAAAATATCTTCATCCACAATAAGACTGAAATTTTTTTTTTTTACTATAATAAAAAATGTGAGTATATAATCAATTAAACGGTAAATTCTTGTATACGTAAAATATTAGAATTTTATTTAAAATATTCTCAAAAAATTTGCAAAATATTTTAATAATCAAGCCACGTCAACATAAATCATAATAAAAAGTAGAAAAGACTAATCTATTTACCTCTGCCAAAGCAGCAATTTTGGCATGAGCGGAGGCTAACTTCATAGCCAATGCTCTCTTTTCAAATTCAAGTTCTCTTTTCTTCCTTTTCATCTCCAACACCAGCAACTCCATATCTTGGCCAGCTTTCAGCCTTTTCTTGACTATGGCATCCATGGAAGAGGAATCATTTCTTTGAAATTCAGATACTTGTTTCTCAAGCATCATTAGAGGCATCTTCACTTCAATAGCTTTTGTTTCATTTTCTGTCTGCATTTCTTCAATCACCTGCTTAGCCATCCTTAACTGTTTCTCTGTCATGGTACCTTGTCTAATCTCTTCTTGAAGACACTTTGTTTCAGATTTCAACGAATTTATAGTGATGGTGAGTGTTTGGATCTCTTCCATCTTGTCCTTCAAGTGTTTTTGTAGATGGGAAATCTGTGACTGCTGCTCTTTTAGGTTGTAGAGCTGAAGCATTTTTCCTTCAATGGCCATTTTTCTCTGTTTCAATCCTTCTCAAGTCTCTGAAAATCTTGCATATATACTAATC